GGTGTGAGAGTCTGTGTGGACTCCACAAGGGATCCTCAGGCTGAAGAAGCTCAAACATTTGTATAATGAAGCAACTGATTCTCTGAAGCAATATCCACAAGGAATAGCCGAATTAACGAGTCTAGTCACATTGAATAAAGTCCTTCCTTGTGATGGGAATAAGGTGGGGTGGTTGAAGAATTTAAACCGACTTAGCGGGAAACTGGAGATGTGGATTGAAATAAGCAGTTGTTGTGATTCAGTAGAGGCGGAGTTGGGGAAAAAGATGCACATTCAAGAACTGAGAATAAATTTCTATGAATCTGCAACAACAACGGATGGCCGTGGCAAACAGGTGAAAGATACTAGTTCATCATCGTCGTCAACATCGGTTTCTAATGAAGTACTAGATGCTCTTCACCCACATCCAAACCTCCAACAACTGGCTATTGAGGGCTATTACGGCTCCCGACTTCCGGGATGGATTGTGTCCCCCCTCAACCAACTCACATCTATTGAGCTGGACAATTGTGAATTCCTTGTGTCGCTGCCGCCGCTGGGTAAACTACCGCTACTGGAGACTCTTGAGATTAAAAGGTTATCTAAATTGGAATATGTTGGACGGGAATTCCTGGGAATAGCAACATCTTCATCGATGGGTACTATTGCTGGTGGCTTCCCCAAGTTGAAGAAATTGACATTTTGGAAATGTATCAACTGGAAGAAGTGGGAAGACATTACGGTGGAAGAAGAAGAAGAAGATAATGTTGCTATCTCAGTAATGCCTTGCCTCACGGAGTTGGAGATCAGTGACTGCAGGAGATTGACGGAGTTGCCGCAACGCCTCATGCGAAAGGTTTCATCATCATTGAAGGTGTTGCATAGTTATGGTTCCAAACAGGTAGATGCTCTGAAACCATATCCAAACCTCCGAGAGCTGATTATTTATCAGTATGAAGGCTCTCAACTTCCACGATGGATCACGTCCCCCCTCAACCAACTCACACATATTAGGCTCTACTTTTGTAAAGGCCTTACATCGCTGCCGCCGCTGGGTAAACTACCGCTACTGGAGACTCTTTCGATTGATAATTTATATGAATTGGAATATGTTGGACGAGAATTCCTGGGAATAGCAACAACAACAACATCTTCGTGTTCATCGGGTACTAATAATATTATTGATGGTGGCTTTCCCAAGTTAAAAAAACTGTCATTTTGGAAGTGTCCAAAGTGGAACAAGTGGGAGGACATCACCACTGCCCAAGAAGAAGAAGAAGAAGAAAAGTATTCAATAATGCCTTGCCTCACGGAGTTGATTATCCGTTCCTGCGAGGGATTGACGGAGCTGCCGCAACGCCTCCTGGAAAAGGTTTCGTTGTCGTCATTGAAGGAGTTGGATATTTTTTTTTCAACACAACTGAAACAAGTCTACGGGGACAAGGAGGGTCAACCCTGGAAATCCATTTCCCGCCACAATCCACAGCTTCGCCTCAGATATTAATTGAGATTATTTATTTTAGTTCTGTGCCATTCATCTTTTTTAATTCGATTCAATTAATACCATGACCATTAATTAATTAATTAATTCCTTGTTTTTTTCATTGTACGCATCATCAATATCACTTGTACTATTAGAATAGAGTTAGATAATGAATTATAAAAACAACACTCTACTATTTCACCCTAATCCTAATCCTAATCCTAATCCTAATATATTACTAAATTAAGCTACAATAATAAATAGTTACATAAATATTAATGAAGATCAATTACACATATTGACATATATATATATATATATATATATATATATATACTAAAAAAAAAGGAAAAAAGTACTTACGGAGAGAATCTCCGACGTGAAATCTCATGGTCGAGGCCCACCGGGTGTATATTTCAGTGTCGTTGGCCGCTGGCTGCTGCCAATCTTGAACTCCTCCGCCGCCACGGTGGCTGCCGGAGAAGAACTTGTGATGGCCAATGTTATGAATAAAGTGGCAAAACAAAAACTTGTGAAAGAAGCCATTAAAAAAATGTTAATTTATTTTTCGATTTCTGAGGTTTATATCATAGATATATTTATAAGTGGGAGGAGGAATTTTTCAAATACTGGAAGTAACCGGCAACACAAGTGGTGGAGCACGGTGGTTACTGGTTGGTTGAATTCTCCGTTTCTCTTCAATTTTATGCTTCTTTAATTTGCACCTCTATAATATTTATTCTTTTCCAATATATAAAATTAAATTATGTTATTTAATTCAAATTTTAACAACATATCATGCAATTAGCCCATATCATTTGTTAAATATAGGGGCGGAAATCAGACGGAATGGATCGAAAATCGAAAAAAAAAATTAATGACAAGGGTATTTTAGTCAATGTACCGTGGATGAGACCGGTCAAATGGAGCCAATCTTCATTAGGGTAATCTCTTCTAATTGCTTCAGCTGTCTGAAGCAAATGTTGAATTTGAGGTTCATCCAAATCAGGGTCACTTTCGTCCACAACATTGTTTAGTAGCTCACAGCATTCCCATATGCTCATTTCCACTTTGTCCAATTTATCATATTCTCCTCTCATTTTCTTCACCTGTTAGTTAATTAATATTAAATAAAAAAAATAATTTAATGAAAAAAATAAAAAAAAATAAAAATATTTTCTTGAATAATATTACTTACAAAGTCATAGGTTTGGTGGATGTGTTGGGTTTTGTAGAAAGTCTCCACCCCTTGTTGCCTTTCACTTTCAGCATCATAATCTCTGTTTCATATTGAAATAATATATATTTCTGAATATTTATTTGCAAATAAAAAGTAAATAAATTGTAGAATTTTGAAGGGCTTGTTTGGGATATGGACCAAACAAATATTTAGGCCCATAAAATATTTGGACTTGAGGGATTAATTAAATTGTCAATTTTGTCCAAAGTCCAAATATGTAAAATACAATTTTTGTCCCTTGAGTTTGCACTAATTTCCCATTAAGTCCTCCGCGTTCAACAAAAAAAAAGTTTGACCCTCATGTTTAAAAAATTCAACACTTTTAATTTTTTACTTCAATTTTCTGTTACTATAACTGCCTTAATAATTGATGGAAAAAGGTTAAAAGTGTTGAATTATTGAAAACATGAGGGATCAGATGTAATTTTTGTGAACATGAACACCAAATCTGAAACTGCTGCAAACTTGAGGGACGAAAACTGTAATTTTCCCTCAATTATTCAAAGTGAAACCATGTTATATTTATGGCATAGATGAGTCCATATTCAATCATCATAAATTAGATTCTTGAAGCAAATAGTTTCAATTTAAGTATTATTTATTAAGTTTTAGGTGCATAATTAAATGATTATTGAAGGAGAAAAAAAAGACCTAAAGTTATGGCCAAAAGAATTGGCATGTGGCAAAACAAATCCTCCATCCAAAACCAAATCCTTTTCTGAGTTTGGAACCTTCTTTTCCTCCACTTCAATCCCTGTTTTTTTTTTCCAGGCACAATCTATATAATATATAAAAGTTGAATTCCACACCTAATTGATTGACATTTGTCAATTTCAATTGGTGACATGTATTCAATTTCATCCCATGTGGCAAATTAATTGGTGAAAATAAATCATCAAAAAACATGTCACCATTTTCCAAAATTAAAAAGATATTAAATTATTTTATTATATATTTAGTCATACCATTTATAAAATGCTCTAAATATATCAACTTTCTTGGAAACTTTAAATAGTTTTATTTTTTAATTTAATTTTAATAGTAATTAATTTAATTTAAATTCAATTTAAAATCTTCACTTATTATAATTGTATGATTGATGGTGTTACGAAAATTTTGTATTTTAATTCATAAACTTGAATTTATATAAAAAAATATTGCAAAATAAATTATTTGATATTATACATTTTACATGAACATGACCAAAGAATATGTTTATCTTTTTTACTAATTTAATATCATATTCGTAATTACCAAAATTTTCCTAATGTTTGTTTCCGTCTTACATCGACCCCCTTACGGTATGATTGTTCACGCAATTTTTTTTATTAAGTGGAATATTCCCCAAAAAATGTTGATTCTATCCTGCACACGACATTTGTTTATGGTACTTTTTAAAGACAAAAATTACCCTGAGGGGGAACTTTACACGAAATATTTATTTTTCTTAAATAACATCTTCACAACTTTTTAGTATTACTATTACCTCCCATAAGGGTAATTTTAGTATTTAAAAAGTAAGATAAAAGAAATGTCACGTCTGCAAGGGTAGAATCCACAATTTTTTATGGAATAAAAAAGATTCCCTAAAAAATCACACCATAAGAGGGTCGTGTAAGACAAACAATCATCTGGGGGATTTTGGCAATTACCAATAAGTGGGGGTGCTTTCTGTGATTTAGCCTAAGTTCATGAGGATTTTCGTAATTTATCCTATTAATAACAATTCGTTCTTTTCACGTCTTAACGTTTGCTTATATCCTTATATTATTTTAAATAATTTTAATATCTGCTTGATAATATAATTAAATATTAATTTCTAATATATTTAATATGTATTTCTTGATGTTTCACTTACCACACATAAGGAATTAGATATAAAAGTTGCGAGATTGAATATAATTGTTTTTTTATAAAAAATAATAGATAATTGCAAAAACATTGATGCAAAATCAGAATTAGGACTGTGATTAAGATTAGCATTAGAATTGGGATTGTAATTAATATTCTTTGAATTAGTATTAGTATTAATACTAGGATTCAGATTCAGGTTGTAATTAAGGTTAATATAGCATTAGAATTAATATTAGGATTAGAATTATGATTAATATTAGTATTAGAATTATAATTAAGATTATGATTATTGATCAGTACTACAATTAGTGACATTTATTAGAGCCCGTTTGGCTAAGCTTATTTAAAACATCTTATAAGCTCCTACATCTGATAAGATGTTTTAGGAGCTGATAAGCTGTTAGATCTTATTTTAAAAATTAATTTTTAAGGTGTTTGGATATGTAACTTATAAGTTAATTTTAGTTTTTATAAGTTAATCAGGTGTTTGGAAATAAAAGGTCTGTTTATCACTATAATGACAAAAAAGTACATGACGCCATTATAACTGTCAAACTAATTCGACTTAAATAATTTTGTTCCTAAAATGTTATTATAATAATATTTACAAATTAATTTTTCAAATAAAAATAATAATATAAAATTATATATTAAACATACCAAATATTTTTTTATGTATGTTGATATGACATTTGACAATTTTTTAAAATAAAATGAAGTGTAATAAAATATTTTAATGAAACAGATTTGTGAAAGTTTTAATTTTTCTCCCATTAATATATTAATATATAATAATATAAAGGTTGTAAAAGAAATGTATATTTTTTTATAGCTAGATAAAAGAAATATAATTTATTATTGAGATAATAAGAATATTCGGGTATTTTTATATACATATAAAATATAAATAGAGAACATTTTTTTTACAATTATTATGATAATTATATTTTAACTAATTATTAATCTCGATTACAAGAATATGTTGTTTTTGATAAAATATAAATGTTATTAGTATTCATGTAATATAATAAAGTATTTGAGGGTAATTTTGTATTTTAAGTGTTTTAGTAAAGAATCAAATAAGATCTTATTGAAAAAAGGTGGGGTGGAGGTACTTTTTTAAAAACATCTTATAAGCTCCCTAACAGCTTATTTTTTGAAAAAATAAGATCTTTTCGAATTTTTTTACCAAACACTTTTTAAGAGCTTATAAGCTCTTAAACATCTTATAAGATGTTTTTAGGAGCTTATAAGCTTAGCCAAACAGGCTCTTAGTATTATGATTATGATTAGCATTATAATTAGGATTATGGTTAGAATTAAAATTAGAATTATAATTAGAATTAACATTAGCATTAACATTACTATTATTAGTAGTAAAATTATTAGGATTATAATTAATGTTAGAAATAGGTTTAGGATTATAATTATGATAAGGATTAGAATCATGATTAGTGTTATGAATAAGATTAGGAATAGGATAAGGATTTGGATAATATTAGTATTACAATTATAATCAACATATAAGCATATCCAGATTAATATTAACATTAAAATTAGTATTAGCATTAGAATATGTACATTAGCATTTACATTAACAATATTAACATATTAGTATTAGAAATAATATTAATATTAGTATTAGTATTAGTATTAATAATAGTATTAGTAATAGTATTATTAATAGTATTAGTATTAATATTAGTATTAATATTAGTATTAATATTAGTGTTAATATTAGTATTAATATTAGTATTATTATTAATATTAATATTAGTCTAAATATCAGTATCAATATCAATATTGGTATCGGCATTAGTATCGGCATCAGTGTCGGTATCGACATCGGTATCGGTATCGGTATCAGTATCAGTATCAGTAGTATCAATATCAGTATCATTATCAGTATCACTATCAATATCAGTATCAGTTTCTGTTTTAGTTTCAGTATTCGTATCCGTATCAGTATCAGTATATGTATCAACATTTGTATCAATGTCAGTATCAATATGAGTATGAGTATCAATATCAATATCAATATCAATATCAATATCGATATTAGTATCAGTATTAGTAGCAGTATCAGTATCAGTATTAGTATCAATATCAATATCAATATTAGTATCAATATTAGTACGAGTATCAGTATGATTGTGAGTATCAGTATGAGTATAAGTATCAATATTAGTATGAGTATCAGTATGAGTATCAATATTAGTATTAGTATTACTATGAGTATCAATATGAGTATCGGTATTAGTATCATTATCATTATCAATATAAGTATTAGTATTAGTTTTAGTATTAATATTAATATTGCTATGAGTATAGTATTAGTGTCAATATCAATATCAGTATTAATATAATATTACTATGAGTATCAGCATGAGTATAAGTATTAGTATCAGTATCAGAATTATTATTGTTATTAGTATCAGTATCAGTATTAGTATTAGTATTAGTATTACAATTAGTATGAATATTAGTATCAATATCACTACTACCATCACTATAAGTATCAGTATTATTATTAGCATTAGTATCAGTATTAGTCTTATTCTTCGTAATAGTATTAGTATTAGTATTAATATCAGTATCAATATAACTATCATTATAAATGTAAGTATCAGTGTTATTGTATTAGTATCAATATTACCATTATTCTTAGTATTAGTATTATTTTTAGTATTAGTATTAGCATTAGTATCAATATGAATATTAGTATTAGTATTATTATTAGTGTTTTTTTTTATTGGTGTGACTATGGGTATTATTATTAGTATCAGAATTAGTATTAATATAAGTATTAGTAGCGGTATTAGTATTAGTATTAGTATCAATATTAGTATTAGTATCAATATTAGTATTAGTATTAGTATTAGTATTAGTATTAGTATTAGTATTAGTATTAGTATCACTATAATTATCAATGTAAGTATCAATATTATTATTGGTATTAGTATCAATATTAGTCTTATTCTTAGTATTACTATTAGTATCAATATGAATATTAGTATTAGTATTAGTTTTACTATTAGTATTAGTATTAGTATTAGTATTGGTACGAGTATGAGTATTAGTATTAGTATTAGTATCAGGATTATTATTAGTATCAGTATTATTATTAATATTTGTATTAGTATCAGTATTAGTATGGTTATTAGTATTATTAGTATTAGTATTAGTGTTAGTATTAATATTAATATTAGTACCAGTATTATTACCAATATTAGTATTAGTATCACTATTGGTATTAACATTAGTATTAGTATTAGTATTAGTGTTAATATTAGTATTAGTATTAGTATTAGTGTTAGTATTAGTATTAGTATTAGTATTAGTATTAGTATTAGTATTAGTATTAGTGTTAGTATAAGTATTAATATTAGTATTAGTATTAATCGAATTAGTATCACTATTGGTAACAGTATTGGTATCAGTATTGGTATCAACATTGGTATCGGTACTGGTAGTGGCGTATACATCATATCTCTTTATTTATAATTTTTATTGTTGTTTGAGTAATCTGCATCACTAATTAAACGCCATTAGTGATAAACTTGCAAGTTATTTGAATATCTATTGTGTTACTTCTCTCCTACCGTGTTTGTTGTTACCTCAGTTATTTTGTAGAAGATTCACATGGTGTAGTAGATTGCAATCCAAGAAATAGAGTTATACCATATGTTTTAAACGATTTCACTTAATCTTGATATCGTGTTTTGCGCGCTTCATGTTCTTTTATTTGTAATATTTTACTTAATTTCATATGTTACAACTCTAAATTAAGAGATAAAGTTTATGTTTTTTTATTTCCTTCCATTTTGTTTTACTTGAATTGGTATTGTTATAAAGAGACAGTCGTTTATACATAAGTTTAATTTTCTCATTTTGAAACTGACCTCCGTGCAACGCACGGGTGAAATACTAGTAATAAATTAAACAGATATTCTAAATAATTTTAAATAAATAAATTTCGCAAAATTACCAATATTCAGAAAAAAACAATTGAAAAAAGGGATAAACTTCAAATATAGAGAAAATAATCAAAGAAACCATGGATCTGAAGACTGAAGAGAAATAATCATTAAAATCAAACTGCAATTATTTTGCTTAATTTAATTAAAAAAGTATATATATACATATAGAGAGAGAGAGGATCAAGAATTACTTATGAGGAAAAAATAATTAAAAAAAAAAAAAAAGAAAGAAAATTACCAAAGTCAGGCTGATGAATGAGAATAGTCATCCTGAATTAATATTCAAGATTAATAAAAATATGAGGAATTGAAGAGAGGAAAAGAATGCAAGACAATTAATTGCATTGTGAGAAAAAGGTTAAAGAAAGGGCATTATTTATAATTGCCGGAGAGTCCTTCCCTGTGAATTCGGAGCAAACAAGTCCTTCCCTGAAAATCTTTCACTCTTTCTTTTACATCTTTATTTTTTATTTTATTATTATTATTAAAAATACTATTAAATTCAACTAAAATGGTTAACGTAAAAAAAAAAAAAGGAGGGAGAAAAACCTACTCATGCAGCGGCGGATTTTTATTTATTTATTTATTGTTTTTATTGTGTGGGTCCCACGTCGACTCAGACTTGCGTTGGATACCATATTCCTTCTGAATTACGTTGTTCGAGGGTGGGACCCGCTGACGTGGATTACAGTCAAGGATGGATTAAACTGGATAAATTTTATCATTATTAATTTTGTCGTATTGCATTATTTCTATTTATTTTTATATTCCGAATTTAATAATGCAATAGTAGTACAGCTAATAGTTGCAGAAAAAAAAAAATCAGACATGTGAAGAAATGATATTGTTTTTTAGACAATCGAGTTTAGTCCAATTCCCAATATATTCGACACTAAATTCAATAAAAATGCTTAACAGAAAGCAAAATAGTGATGTATCAGTGTCACTAGCGATGATCAATTGTGCCACGACAACCTCTCATCGTACCCCCATCAATATTAATTAGTTTAGGTGCAAGTGGAATTGGAAATTGGAACTTGTTTTATTGGCATTATACGGACAACTAATAACCATAAATCATATTTTATAGGGTAAATTGCAACCACTTTAGTTATGATCAAATTATAAAAACTCTCTCTTGTTTGGATAATTACAATCACCTCTTAATTATAAATTTTGTTATACGTCCATCCTTGCAGTTTCAAATTTAGTAGAATTTTCTAGCTTACATGGAATCTTTTCAATTTTGGATTCATTTTATCCCATTTGAATAATTATTCAAATATGAAGGAGTTTTTTCGTAGTTTGATCAGACCTCAGGTGGTAGTTGTAATTTACCCTATTTTATATTGCCCTAGTAGAATTTTAAAAAATATTTCAATTGTTTTTTAGATAGTTTCCTCATTGCTATGCAATATTTTAAAGTATTTTGGAGCTTATTTTCATTTTAATTTGACAAAAAAATAAATTAAAAATTGTGTGGAATTTTTTTATTATTAAAATAATGATTGTATATATTTGGGATTAAATATAAAATTATGGTCTGTGGATTGTGAATTGGATTAACCATCAAAGAATTTATAGTTCAGATTTCAGAAGCAGCACCGTTCAAGAAATTGGGTGGTAAATCAAATACAATTCCATAAATATAAAACCGGGAACCAAATTTATGATATTTAGCACTTAGCACCTAGCAAACGTAGCTCGAATTCGCACTACAGCTTCGATTTCGTTTCGGTTCATAATGTTTACAATGCTCAACTTCAGAATATCCTAGTTATATAAGCTTCCCGGATGAAGATCACAAGTCAGAAGTTACCGGTTTCTCAAAGAAGACGATGTCATGCTGAAAATTTTATCCTTTTGGAAGGGCCTTGATCAATGATTGGATCGACAGGTGGCAACGGCTCTGCTGACTGGCTATCGGAGCTTTTCTCTCCTTCTGTACTGAGAGGGGCATAGCCATCGGGAAAGGGCGGTGGAGGTGGGGCGGGTGGAAGCTGAGCAATATTACAACATTTATTAGAAATTGAACTCCGTAAATAATTCTCAAATGCGAGATATAATGACACGGTACTAATAACTAATATAAGCTCCACATGCATATCTATGTCACCGATGCCAGAAAAACGGAGATGGGTCTAATTTTACGTAACAAATAACCGATTACATTCGGTGAAGAAAGAGATTTGTTCTACCTTGCGTTGCAGAGAAGCAAGAATATGGTCTACACGTTTAAGTTCTTTAAAGTCGATGGTCTCTTTAGCAGCTTTTGGTTCAGAGGATGTACTCTCGTTTTCGGCGTCAACTGTGCCAGAAGAACACGAGAAATTACAAGCTAAAAAATTTATGGAAGCTTGAGCTTCGATTAGTTAGATGTGCTGCAAGATAATATAGCACAAGTAGATTGTTATGCAATCGTATATCAAGCACCAACTCATTTTCTTAATTAATCGTACGTACTCGTGTAGGCGCACTGCGCACATCACTTAGGTCAAAGGAGAAAAAAGGTAAATAATTTACTAAAATTGGAATATACCATATCCGATTTTCTCCAACTTTGAAGCTGCAGTATTAAAAGCCTTGGATATATGGTACAACGCGCGTCCCTGTCAAAAGAGGATAAAGCGTTACATTAGAACACCTGAGTTTTGACGATATATAAGGTGTAAATACACTTATTACTGATAATCTTATGACGAACTTCCATCTAATCAGAAAACGAACAAAAGATCGGAGAAAATAAGGATATTCAATTATCTGGAGCAGAAACGGAAAGCATGAATCATCACCATAAATACTTGTCAGATAAAACAATGCTACCTTATTGAATATACACTCACAGTTATCACTTATCGTTTATCTCATTTCGATTATCACAAACATGAGAATCGGGAAAAACCACCATCTAGGAACTTCAACGAACTTTACGATAGGCCAAAAAGAAGCATTAGCAACACCGAATACATACAGACCAGCTGAAGTAGTTACTAGTTAGACTCGTTTCAGACAATAATATATATACACATACACGAATCACACAATTTGAAGTCCATACAGCGCTTAAGGGATAAAAAACCCGGAAGGAACTACAATAACGAATACACCAAACAAAATATCATCTTGCAGCAACTGTATCTGTAGATGCAAAATTTCAACCAAATAATCCGAAAACTACGAAATACGTGCTTAATGTCATCACACAGTTTAAATTAAAAAAAAAAAAAACGAACAACGGTAGGTGAAGGGGATACTAACAACTCGAGACGCAAATACGTTGCAAAGCTGGGGGGCTTGGTATATTGATCCATCCAAGACGTAGTAAGTTAGCATAGGTGTCACTTTCTCGGGGCCATCCCGTTTTTGCTTTCTGAATACGAACAAATGCGGCTCCAACACTTCACTCAACGAGTACTCTATTCCGGTCATCTTCCTTCATGCAGAAAATATACCCATTGAATAACATCAAGCTTCAATTTTTTTACAAATTCAATTTAGACTACTTCATTAATAAATCCAATTTCACTGTGTTTATGTGTACACATACACTCCAAATTGAACCTTAAAAAATCAAAATTAACTATCGGATAATTATACCCAAATTGAAAATAAACGATCAAATTAGGTCGAACAAAAAGCGGCACTTACGAGAGGTGGGAGAGATCGAGGGGGTGAGTTGCGCGGAGACGAAGCTGCTCGTTATTGCACGAGTAATCGTAGAATGGGGAGAGAGCGAAGTAATCAAAAACTAGGTTTCGGTCAAGTGGGTAAGTGTTGAGCCACAGCTGATCGCGGAAACAGATTCCGGTCATGTCTGTACCCGGAGGAGGTGGAGCCACCATCTGCGGTGGCGGAGGCGCGCCGCCATCTAACGCTGGGTTCGCCGCCGCGGGTGGAATCATCGGCGTTGTTGCCATTGGGTATACAGTCACTACGGTATAGCTTCTCCGCAAATTGGTTGAGCCACGCCGGTCGCCGGAGAAATTAGCGGTGGCTTCTCCGATGGAAATGGACGGCGAGTTGGATGGATGGAGTGGAGGTGAGAAATTTTGCAGCGATGTGAGATACGGGTTTGGGTTACGGGTTTGGGTTTTTGGTGGGCTGGGCTTCGGGTAAAATGAAATTCGGGTCGGGTTTTCTCGTATTTTCTAAAATAAATACATTTTTAATAAGTTTGGATAATACTAATTCCTTACATTATAGTTAGTTAGATTATTAAAAACTAGCATTAAAATTAGTTATACGTGACACTAAATGCCTTGTAATCTCTAATTTAACATAATCCAATCTTATCTTATAGTATTTTAATTTTTGAAAAATCAAAATTTCAATGTTTTTGAAACTCGGACCGGACAGGCCCGACTCAACCGTTGGACAATGTACTATTGCCTAGCCCAGACCGCCCGGTCCTATTTGTGAGCTACAAAACCGTAAATTACAAAAAATCGGATTTTACTGAAAACTCTGAGTTTTGGACCGGTTGAACCGTAAAACTATAACTCATAAAACCGGATTTTTGACCATGATCCAGTATTTTGTCCAGATCAATATCCGATATGATTCATAAAATGATTAAATACAGTTTGAACCCCAAAATATAGGAGTTGTAATAATTATCTTCTTGAAGTATCAAATGTAATATTTATCCTCTCCATTAATAATCCAATAATAAAACTTCGACTTTAATGACATGATATTTTTTCTTCTTATAATCTACAAAATTTCAATTCTACTATAAAGTAAAAAAATTTATAATTTCATGGAATTTTCTTTGAATTTTTCTTCCAATATTTTTATTGTATCATTAATAAATTAATAATAATAAATTTGGAATCACACATGCATTATATTATAGAGTTTTGCAAGTTATATGTATCTATCATAAAAAAATTCGGATAATATAAAGGGTAAATTACAATCCCGAGGTATTGTTAAATTACAAAAAAATCCCTCATGTTTGGGTAATTACAACAACATCCTCAACAATAAATCTTCCTACACGTCACACTTACGGTTTCAAATTTAGTGGAACCTTCTAAATTATATGGAATATTCTCAATTTTGGACCCGTTTTATCCCATTCGAGCTCCACATTTTGAAGCTAGATGATCATAATTTATGTTTTTTGGCTTTTATATATCAGATTGTGGTGCATCAAAAACTGTATTTTTACACAAAACGAGTACAAACTAGCGAACATTCCACGGAATCTAGATAATTATGTTGAATTTGACACCATAATGGTGGATATGTAAGAAGATTCATAGTTGAGGGGTAAATGTAATTATCCAAACAGGAAGGGATTTTTTCGTAATTTGACCATACCTCATGGGGGTGGTTGTAATTTATTCTAATATAAATTATGGCTGCAATGAACATATTTTTTTAAAGGGTTAAATACACCCTTCAAATATATACCCTATGTAACACTTACCCCTTAAAGTATCATTTGTAAGTTGTAACACTTAACCCCTCAAGTATCATTTAATTTGTCTTTTAGGTTTTAATACCTTAGATTTTTCTCTTTTATCGAAAGAAATAACTAAAATGAATAGTTAAATGGATGAGGCTCGAAAACACGACGACGTGTTGGACGAATGGAATGCGGCGATTCTCGAACTTGAGACGGTTCGATACTACAATTACCCAAAACATGAGGAGGATTTTCGTAATTACCATAAGTTAGGAGGGCGGCCGTAATTTACCCTTAATCTTTTTTTAAGAACATTAATAATTAGAATTGTGACCCCATTAACTTTTAAAGTTTGACTAGTAGGTCTGGGAGCAATTGTCTTGTCCCACCTACTGCTGTAAAGTTTTACTACAAAAGTAAAAGTGGGTGCATGTATCTCCAACCTAACCAATTATTCTTCATTTAAAAATGATTTTTTTTTAATTAACTGGAAAATATATTTATTCAGTTACAAAATATGATGAAATAATAAAACGAAGTCTTAAATTATTTATATTATTTTTATATGTAATACCTTCGAGATAAATTATAAGATAAATTATGAAAACTCCCCTGAACTTAGGCTGAATAACAAAAAACGCCCCACCTACTCGTAATTACAAAAAATCCCGTGAAATTTGTTTCTGTCTTACACGAACTCCTACTTTTCACAGACTTTTTTTTTATTTTATTCCAGGGAATAAACTTTACACGATTTCAGATATTGTATTTTATTTCTCACTTATTTAACATATAGTATAATAGATTGTACACTTTTTTTTTTGTTAAAAAAAAACCCGATCAATAGTTAATCATAGAGGGATTTTGGTTATTACGGATAGGTGGGGGTATTTTTCGTTATTTAGGCTAAGTTCAGGTTTTTTTTTTTTTAATCTACCCTAAATTATATACTAAATAATAATTTTAATACAATAGAACCTCGATAAATTAATACTCGCTAAATTAATAACCTCGATTAAATAATAGTTTCTCTCGGTGAGAACATGCTAAAGTAGAAAAAATATAAAAATAATAAAAATATATCTTTGAAAATTTAAAACTTTTAAATACACTAATTAATAGATTAAAATTATAATAAAAGAGTTGGAATTCTTGAAAATTATACAGTTACTTTCAGTTAACATGCAATTAAAACTGAAAATATATGTGAGAAATAATAAAACGCAAACAAAAAATTGAAAGTTTGAGCAATAATTGTTGTCCCACATGCAGCTAGCTGTGTGCAATTTACAAAAGTAAAAGTGGGGGCATGGAAATTGATAAATCACAAAACTTTTGTGTCTTTGTTCATCTTTATTTCTGCATATTTTCTCCACCTTATCAATTATTGGTTCATACTATATACGATCACAATTCACAAAGGAATAATATACACACATATAATTCAAAGAAAAAAAAGAAAAAAAAAACTCATGGCGGATGCTATCGTTTCCGTTGTGTTGGAGCGCATTGCAGCTCTCGTGGAAAAGAAGATCCGAGACGAAGTAAATTTGGTGAGAGGAGTTAAGAAGGAGATTCTCAAACTTTCCGTTGATCTGAACACAGTCAGAAACGTGTTGGAAGATGCGGAGAAGAAGATGTATAAGAAAAAGAGCATCAAAGAATGGCTGACGAGCCTCGAAAACACGACATACGAAATGGATGACGTGTTGGACGAATGGAACTACTCCATTCTCAAGTTTCAGATCGAACAATCGTCTGATGGTGTTGCTGCTGCTGATGCTGATGCTGATGTTGTTCCTCCTAAGTGCACGGTACGCTTTTGCATCCCTTGCTCGTTTTTATGTTTCAAGAAAGTTTCTGTGCGTCGTGGAATTGCCTTGAAGATAAAACAAGTGAAAGAACGGCTTGATCTGGTTTTGGCGGAGAAAGATCGGTTTGGTTTTGATGAGGTCACGTCACAACAATCTGATCGTGAATCTTGGCGAGGTCAAACTACTTCTGTCATCGACAAAGATGAAGTTTATGGCCGAGACTTAGAGAGAGAAGCTCTGGTGAGTAAACTTGTGGGTGAAGGTGGTAGTAGCGAAGAAGGTTTAATAGGAGGCATCCGCGTTGTATCTATAGTGGGTGTGGGTGGCCTTGGGAAGACAACTCTTGCTCAACTAGCTTATAACGATAGTCGAGTTGAGAATTGTTTTGAGTTAAGAATTTGGATATCTGTTTCCGATCCCTTTAACGAGGTTGAGATTGTGAAAGGGATTGTGGCAAGTGTGGAAAAGTTGGATGAACCCCCAAAGACCAACCAATTGGAAATGCTACTGCAACGTCTAAAAGAGTCTATTTCAGGGAAAAAGTTTCTTCTTGTTATGGATGATGTTTGGACACAAGACGATACCAAGTGGAAACCCTTGAAAAACACTCTCAAAAGTGGTGGAACGGGTAGCAAAGTTTTGGTGACAACTAGAAACGAAAATGTTGCAATAATGATGATGGGAGAGTCTATTAAGAATGATCGGATGATCCATCGTTTAGGAGTTCTAAATGATGGAGATTGTTGGTCATTGTTAGGTCGGATTGCCCTTTGTGGTAAGAACAAGGATCAATGTGAAGAATTTGAGAACACGGGTAAGGAGATAACCAAGAAGTGCAATGGATTGCCGCTTGCAGCAAAGACTTTGGGAAGTCTCTTACGGTTCAAGACTACATTGGAAGAGTGGGAGAGCGTGTTGAATAGTGAAATATGGAAGTTGGAGCAAGTAGAAGATGACCTCTTCCGCCATTTGTTTCTTAGTTACGACGAGTTGTCCCCAACATTGAAGCGTTGCTTCTCGTATTGTGCCGTCTTTCCTAAAGATACCAGAATTGATGTGGATGAGCTAATAACAAGATGGATGGCAATGGGTTATTTAGGATCGAATGCTGATGATGACTGGAAAGTTAGAGGGAGAGGGTACTTTGATTATTTATCAATGCGTTCTCTGTTTCAAGACTTTTATATGAAAGATGACGATATAAAGATAAAATCGTTTATGATGCATGACATTGTACATGATTTCGCTGAATTCCTGAGGAAGAATGTGGGATCAAGAATGAAGAACACAACTTGCAAAGACTGTAGCCATTTGTTAGTTTCCCGAGTCGAAAAATATCGTAGCTTATGTCAGTGCAAAGAAGTTCTTGATCCACATGTTTGTGATTGCCTGGCAAGTGTGAGGTTGCTCAAATTAAGAAGTTGTGGTTTGAAAGGCATTCCGAAAGAAATAGAAAAATTGATTCACTTGAGGTGGTTGAACTTGAGTCATAATAAACTTGTTGGTGATGATCTGAAGTCCATTTGTAAGTTGTATAACTTGCAATTTCTTTGGGTGGGCTGGTGCGGGCTACAAGAAATTCCGTTGGAGATTGGGAATTTGAGTGAGTTGATACACTTGGATTTGAGTGACAATACACAACTGAAAGAGTTGCCGGAGAGCCTATGCAATTTGAGTAAATTAGAAATCCTGAATGTTAGTTCGTGTTGTAGTCTGTGTGGACTTCCACAAGGGATCCACAGGCTGAAGAAGCTCAAACATTTGTATAATGAACGTACTGATTCTCTGAAGCAATATCCACAAGGAATAGCCGAATTAACGAGTCTAGTCACATTGAATAAAGTCTTTCCTTGTGATGGGAATAAGGTGGGGTGGTTGAAGAATTTAAACCGACTTAGCGGGAAACTGGAGATGTGGATTGTAATAAGCAGTTGTTGTGATTCAGTAGAGGATGCTCGTGAGGTGGAGTTGGGGAAAAAGATGCACATTCAAGAACTGACAATAAATTTCTATGGATCAACAACAACAACGGATGGCCGTGGCAAACAGGTGAAAGATACTAGTTCATCATCGTCGTCAACATCGGTTTCTAATGAAGTACTAGATGCTCTTCACCCACATCCAAACCTCCAACAACTGACTATTGTGGGCTATTACGGCTCCCGACTTCCGGGATGGATTGTGTCCCCCCTCAACCAACTCACATCTATTGAGCTGGACAATTGTGAATTCCTTGTGTCGCTGCCGCCGCTGGGTAAACTACCGCTACTGGAGACTCTTGGGATTAGTGGTTTACCTGAATTGGAATATGTTGGATGGGAATTCCTGGGAATAGCAACATGTTCATCATCGATGGGTACTATTGATGGTGGCTTCCCCAAGTTGAAGTACCTGAAATTTAGGGCATGTAATAACTGGAAGAAGTGGGAAGACATTACGGTGGAAGAAGATAATGTTGCTATCTCAATAATGCCTTGCCTCACGGAGTTGACGATCCGTGACTGCAGCAGATTGACGGAGCTGCCGCAACGACTCCTGCGAAAGGTGTCACCATCGTTGAAGGTGTTGTGTATTTATGGTTCCAAACTGGTAGATGCTCTTGAGCCACTTCCAAACCTCCGAGAGCTGATTATTTATTACTATGAAGGCTCTCAACTTCCACGATGGATCACGTCCCCCCTCAACCAACTCATAAATGTTGGTCTCGACTATTGTGAAGGCCTTCCGTCGCTGCCGCCGCTGGGTAAACTACCGCTACTTGAGCGTCTTTCGATTATTGGTTTATCTAAATTGAAATATGTTGGACGGGAATTCCTGGGAATAGCAACATGTTCATCGATGGGTACTATTGCTGGTGGCTTCCCCAAGTTAAAAAAACTGTCATTTCGGAGGTGTCCAAACTGGACGGAGTGGGAAGACATTACGGTGGAAGAAGAAGATAATGTTGCTATCTCAATAATGCCTTGCCTCACGGAGTTGACGATCTATGACTGCAGCAGATTGACGGATCTGCCGCAACGACTCCTGCAAAAGGTGTCGCCATCGTTGAAGTGGTTGACTATTGCTGGTTCAACACAACTGAAACAAGTCTACGGGGACAAGGAGGGTCAACCCTGGAAATCCATTTCCAACCACAATCCACACCTTCGTCTCTACCCTTGAGATTAGTAGTTTTACGTCATTCAACTTCCATTTTTCATTTTCTACTACATTAATTCATATCAATTGTTTTCCCATACCTGTCTGTACTGTCAACTGTAATTTCATGCTTCATTTCTACTGTTTAGAAAATGCATTATAAAAACAACATTCTACTATTTCAGGACAATCCAACACTTTCAACAAAACTAACTACCCTAATCCTAAAATATTACTAAATCATTCTTGTACTCGAAACCTGCAGTTCTTAAAATAATAATTACATTAAAATATTAATTAATGAAGATCAATTAATTTGACTAAAAATAAGTCATATGGAAATTCCTTATGAAGAGAATCTCCGACGTCGAATCTCTTGGTTGAGGCACACCGGCTGTACATTTAATCATTTAGTGGGAGGAGTGAATTTTCAATTCCCAAAAGTCACCGGCAATACAAGTGGTGGAGCACGGTGGTTGTTGGCATGAGGGTGGTGGAGCACTGCGGTTAAGAAAACAATTTTATTTGACCTGTGCTGCTCTTATATTCACTCCCAGTTTGTCTGACTGCTTGTATTTTTGTACAATTTTTGTGTGAAAGGACAAAATTGCCCCTCTGAATCTCTGCAATTGGAATGTATGATTACTGTGTGTTTTTCTCTCCTTTTTTTTTTTCTTCTTTCTCGTCATCCTCGTCACCAATTGACCCCTGTCAAAAACTCCCGATCCATCGCTGTCGAAATTCCAGCTGTGAATTTGCACTCATCTTTTTTTTTTTCTTTTCAAATTTTCTTATTATATTACTTATGTTTAATATATATTTGGGTAAATAGCATTAAACCACCTAAACTTTTTCAGTTTTTGCGGATCACCACCTGAACAATTTTTTTTTGCATGAGTTCACCCGTACTTAATAAATTGTGTCACTTTGCCATTTTTTGCCGGTTTTCAGGTCAAAATGACCTGTTCTCAACTCATGTGCGTTGCACATGACAAATCCAAGGGTATTGATGTCTTTTCCATTTTTAAAATGAAATAAATGTTTTTTTAGGATAAATGGAATAAATATAAAATAGAATAATTAAAAGAAAAAAAAACATGTCAGTTTTATTTTATTTAATTAATCAATTTTATATATACATACATTATACATACATATGCAGGGGATACAACCCACTTGCAGTTGCAGAACACAAGTTTTGAAGAAAGATTCTCTCACATACACACACACACACACACACACACAACACATTCATTCCTGTTTTTAACTAATTTAATCGGTATGAATTAACTTGGTACGTTTGTATTTCACTTTTTTTCATCGAATATTTGATTCTTTGATTGAATCCCACTTCAGATCTGTTGATTTTAATAAAAAAAAATTAATTTTATTTTGCATTTGAATTGAAGTGGGATGATCTTGGTGAAATGGGGGGGCGAATTTTCGTGCAACTGGTGGTGGTTTTATCATTTCGGAGTGGTAGTGTGTTTGTTGCAAAAGCAGAGGATTTCATACCCGATCTCACCGCCAAGCGCCGCGCACTTCCGCCGCGGCCTCAATTGTGAGAAGATCATCTAATCCTCCATTCGTTGGAAGATGATCTAGTTGATTCGGAGGAATAAATCGAGAGAAAATAGTGTTCCTATAACCCAATTTCCGTAAATACGATTTTTGAATCTGCTTCCTGGTGATTGCTTCGACATTTCGGATTTCTGAGATGGGTTTTGTCCGGAAAAGTGATTATGCATCCCGACACCACCAGGGCCGAGACTGTTTTGTCTTGGGTGGCGGACATTGTAGCCCGAAACAGACAACATCAAATTACAATCAGCAACAGAGATTATGAATTGCGTGAGTAACCACATTTCCATACACATAGACATTTGAAATATAACAAATATAACACCCAGTGATAACAAATCGGTTAACAATTAGCATTTCAAAACAAATCTAGATTCAAGCTTCAACATTCAAGTTCTAAATAGCGAAACCCAGTCTACATCACACAAACCCCGACCTAAATCGAACATGAACACACCAAATTCGGCCAGAATTGTGCCTAAATCGCCAAAAAAACAACGCTACCCAGTCGAAATCGCGAGCAATTCACATCAAATCGAGCTTGAATCATCCCAAAATTGCGATAGTCCTGTATGTATTGAACAAAATCGTGATTTGGTAAGTAATGTTCGAATAGTTGTGGGATTTTTCTCGAAGAAATTGAAAAACATGAAAGAGGGCCAACAAAAAATCTGAATCGAGAGAAAATAGTTTATTTATTCTATTTAACATTTATTCCATTTTTAAAATGGAAAATACGTCAATACCCTTGGATTTGTCATGTGCAACGCACATGAGTTGAGAACAGGTCATTTTGACCTGAAAACCGGCAAAAATGGGCAAAGTGGCACAATTTATTAAGTACGGGTGAACTCGTGCAAAAAAAAATTGTTCAGGTGGTGATCCGCAAAAACTTAAAAAGTTTAGGTGGTTTAATGCTATTTACCCTATATATTTTATTAGTTTAAAATATAAAATATGAGGGACTGAATTGAAAATTTCAAAAACTTCATTTTAGGACAAACAAAAGTTCTGGGTTGAATCTATAATTTTCAAAGATTCTAATTTAGAGGGTATTGATCCATTGGGTATTTCCAATTGGATTTCTATTTTTGTGGAGAGTTTTTTCGTCTTTTTACAAACAGTCAACAGATGAAAATAAAAAGTGTCGAGTCACGAGTGTACTTGCTTGAACTGATTACATAGGGGTTTTGGTCACTTAATTTTTCTCGGGTTTTATTTTTTTGGCCTTTCTGATATAAATGTTGAAATAAATAATGCACTTTCTATATTATCCAAATGCATGTACAATGTATAGGATATATACATGAATTATAAGATACATGTATATCTAGGATTTATAATGAATACATTTAATACGATGCATGTACTGCATATGCTTAAACTAGTATAACTAGGTCTTGAGTTTGTACTTATAATTCAACATGTATTAGCAAGAGTAAAATATGTTAGAGACACATACTCCTCGATTATTTCCTTGTTAATCTTGTTCACATATTTTCGCAATATATTCAACAATAACACAGGTAACTACGAATGTGAACGGCGCTTTCAGTTCAGATATATTGATCCGGAGTATTTTTCAGTCCATCTAGTTTATTACGAAAAAGAGTGATGTATATGTTTATAGTTTTGGGGTTGTTCTTGTTGAGGCCTACAATGACAACTTCCACGACTGATATTCGGAGGCGTTTTTTTTTTCTTTAATGGACGAAAATGCCCTTGATTCGATTCTTGATGATCAAGTGTTGAGAGGTGAAAGTGGAGGTGTTCTTGCTGTAGCAAAACTTGCGGAAAGATGTTTGGATTTGAACGGTAAGAAACGTCCGTATATGAAAGAAGTTGGTGTGGAATTGGAGAGTGTGAGAATGGCTCGAATGGGATCGAATGTCGGGGCAAAATTGGTAGAAGAAAATTATTCGTTCCGTAGAGGAGAATCGGTGGTTTTTTCGACGGGTAACGATGAATATAATTGGACGATTACTAGTGATTTTAAGACCAACTCTTCGTCTGATGTATTATAATATCCTATTATGTTTGATGCAAATTGAAGTTTTAACAGTAAGTTGGCTGCTGATTTCTTGCTTCTATTTCTACTTGGTGGAACATTTTTTTTAGGGTAAATAGCATTAAACCACCTAAACTTTTTACGTTTTTGCGGATCACCACCTGAACAATTTTTTTTGCAAGAGTTCACCTGTACTCAATTAATTGTGCCACTTTGCCGTTTTTTGCCCGTTTTCAGGTCATAATAACCGGTTCTGGACACACGCGCGTTGCACATGCGAAATCAAAGGGTATTGTTGGCTTTTTCATTTTTAAAATTGAATAAATGTAAAATAGAATAATTATTAAAAAAAAAAAAAAACAAAAGGGTCTTCGTCTTGTTCCCAATCCCAGAAGAAGATCCACCACAACACCACATATACTGTACTGCTGCTACTTTATTTTTCCCTAATCATCACCATCATCAGACCAACAAAAAGAAAAACGTCGCCGTTTACCCGCCGGCAATCAGCCGTAATTTCACATAGATGAACTCATCAAGGCCAACGGCGTTGGCGGCGGCAGACCATATCCAACCCCCCCACCCTACTCATCTAACTCACAATTTTCATCAACCATTTCTCTCATGTTGCAGCCACTCACCCCGAGTAACCAGCCTCTTGCACAACCACCAAGCTCACCACCACCACCACATCTTCTTCAGATCCGCCGCCATCATGACTGAAATTGGACCTAAAATTAGGTCCAAAATGTTCATTTAATTTCCCCCTTTCCCCAATTCAAGTTATATGAACACTATTTTCTTTCGATTTCTTCCTCCGAACGACTAGATCTTCTTCCAACGAATGGAGGATTATAGGATCTTCTCACAATTGAGGCCGCCCCATGCCACGGCGGCGGTGAGCGGCGCTCGGCCGTGAGATCGGGTGTGCGCCGGTGGGCAGTGGGTGGTGAGATTGGTGCGACGGCAGTGGTCATCCTTGGAATTGCAGAGGCGAGAAAGTAATTATGTCGGTGGTTTGTTCGGATTTTTTGGGCCATGAGTTCAAAATACAGGGCTGAGTTGCTGGGAACAAGATGACGTTTTTCTTTTTCTTTTTTTACTTATTCTATTTAAGAAAATTTCATTTCAAAAAAGAAACATAAAATAAAATAAATAAATGAAAATTAACATTTATTCAATTTTAAAAATGAAAAAGCCAACAATACCCTTGGATTTCGCATGTGCAACGCGCGTGTGTCCAGAACCGGTCATTATGACCTGAAAACGGGCAAAAAACGGCAAAGTGGCACAATTAATTGAGTACAGGTGAACTCTTGCAAAAAAAAATTGTTCAGGTGGTGATCCGCAAAAACGTAAAAAGTTTAGGTGGTTTAATGCTATTTACCCTTTTTTTTATTTATATTACAATTTGAAACTGAACCTATAAAGACAAGCATCTACCTATATATTAAGGGGATCACTATTTCAAATCTCAACTTTTGCTTACTTGAATACCAAAAAAATAAAAAATAAATAATTAATTGTAAATTACTTTAATACCCTTAATGAAATTAAAACCAAAAAAAATATCACAAATACTATTTTTCTTTCTTAAATACCAAATAATCAAAAACTCAAAAAAACCATTTCCCTCCTTACTCACAAACCCCCTCACCTTCCTCCATCCTCTTTCTTTCTCCCTTCCCAAAAAAACCCTTCTAAAAAAATCTTCCCTCACAACAAACCCTTTCTAAAAAATCTCACAACAAACCCTTCTTAAAAATTTTCAAACCTAAAGAAATTAAAATCACCGCTCTCCTAAAAG